GGTTTCCTGTCTCAGTTCTGCACAAGGAGCCTCGACAGGTTTGTCTCTGTCTGCTGGAGATCGGCCGCATTGTCTCCAAGTAAGTGTTTGAGCGCAGGAAAAGCTTCAGTGGGTTTTCAGTAATTCAGCAACAGCTTAAGAATTGTTCAACATTTCAGTGGCAAAGGTGCACAGTGTAAACTATGCTCTGTGCTTCTCAGGTATGGCGTGGAGCCTCCAGTGCTGGTGAAGCTGGAGAAGGAGATCGAGCTTGAAGAGTCTCTGCTGATGACAGAGGAGCTACCTCCAGCTGTCAAAACGTTCAGCGTGTGTTGCCAGCATGATGGCCTGTACCAGTCTGGGGTGAGTTCAGTCTGTTCATCTTGAACATATGAACAGGAAATAAGCTCCACACTTTTTTCGAACATGAGATCTTTCCTCCTGGAGGCAGTAAGTGTGGCACAAGAATGGTCCTCCTTGACTTCTGGGGGATGCTGCCTCAGTCTAAAAGATGGCTACACACACACAACTGCTGAGTTAAAACCATAAATTCATATTTTTGTAAGTGACCAACTGTAAATTAAAAGTAAACATACAGTTGTGTAGCCTTAAGTACACAGAGCGATCAACTTAGTGCTGGTATACCAGTGTACACACTGCACTCTCAGCTTACTGTTGTTTTAGTGCTTTGTGTAACATTACTGATGGAGAATGATGCTTGATAGGGGAATTCACCATTCCAGTGCAGTGGGTAAAATAAGTGTTTATTCCCTGAGGAGACAGCTGGGTTTAAAATAACTGTATTCATTGAAATAGAAGGCAGTTTGGATAAATGCATCTGTCAAATACTATTTTTATTCTGTATAATATATTAATGTGTGTTTGCACTGACATGAGTAGGTTACAGCAAATACTCAGTTTATTTTAGGCCAGTGTGACATCTTCTCCTCATCAGCTGGATCTTACAGTATCTCGGGAAAGAAACATGTCTGACTGCTTAATACAGTGGGTGTAATTGCATTTCTAGTCACATTAAAAGCAGGAAATAGTCTTTCTTTGAATGTAATGCTTTGTTCTCCAGCGTTCTGAGGGGACACCAAATGATCACCTCGGTGTAAAATGCTGACACTAATAAAATAATTAGATTTTTGTTTCTGAATGCCAAAAAGGGACCTACCTCAGTATGGCTGCCTTATGGTTCTCTATTGTCCCATGCCTCCCTTGTAGGAGCACAGCATGGAAGACCTGCCCTGCAACTGCTCCAACAGAGTTTCCATTGAGTACCTGTCTGAGGGCCGCTACAGACTGGGAGACAAGACGATCTTTATTCGAGTGAGTGCTCTGTACACACATGCACACACGTGATTGGACACATGTAAACTCATTATCCACTAGTGCTGGACTGCGTTAGGTGATTACATCATGACACTGCTGTCCACTGCATCAAGCTTCAGGATGCACAGGATCATTTGTAGCCCTGCAGATTATTTGGGGCATTTCACGGAAGATGTTCAAGTCTATGAAGACTCCTGACTTTTATTTGTTAAAGATATTTTGCACCAAACTTGGGGAGAAAATTCATTTACCAACAGATTCTCTCTCCACAGATGCTTCATGGTAAACATGTAATGGTGCGTGTAGGTGGAGGCTGGGACACTCTGCGCGGTTTCCTGATGAAATATGATCCTCTTCGAGCGCTGCAGTTCACCACACTGGAGCAGAAGATCCTGGCCTTCCAGAAAGGCCCCCCTGGCCTGGGAGGTCACCATAGCAATGCAGCTCCACCTCCTCCTCCTAACATGGACCTGCTCACTGCTGTCAATGACCTCATCTCCTCCCCTTCATCCTCTTCCACCTCTTCATCTACTTCCTCCAGCTCTCTCTGTAAGCCATATGTGACTGCTGCAGGTCCGATGTGTCGGTTGCACACTGCCTCCCCAGCCTGCACACCCACGCTGCCCAGAACGGGTGCTGCCAGAGCAACCAAGAAGAACTTCCAGAAGGTGCCTTCCTCTCCCAGGAAGCCTACCCAGCTGCCCCTGCCCATTAATACCAAAGGCTCCTCCTCTCTGCCCTCTAGGCCTGTAGGAAGCTCTTCCAAACAGTCTCCCAGTCCAGGATGTCAGGTTGTGCAGGCCCAGAGCAGAGCTCTGATTCCATCAGCAGCTCCATCAGTTGACCCTGGAGATCCCAATTCTGCCTCCAAACTGAAGGTCAGACCTTCACCATGTAAAACCACCTCTCAGCCTAGGAGCCCTGTCTGCCCTGAGCCATCTTCTAAATGCCTCAAACCCTCCAGCCCCTGCACCTCACCCACCACTACCTCTGTGCCTCACCCTATACAGGGACCCACCCCTAAAGATGCACGGACGCCACTGGGTGCCAACCAGCACTCTCGCCTTGCACAGTACCGCCCCGGCTCCCCAGCCTCGCGTCTCCGTCTAGAGGCAGCCAGGAGAGCGCGTATGGCCAGGGTTGCAGTGAACCCTACTCCAAGAGCGACAACACCACAGTCCCGGACCCCCACCCCCAGCTCCTTGGCGCTGTCAAAAACTGCCAAAGTTGCTGATGCTGCCCCACCACAAGGTACTTCTGTCCACGGGCAGCTCCCAGGGAGAAACCTGGGCCCTCCTCCCGCTAGAAAAGCTAATCAGAAAACACAATTCTCAGCACAGAGGGTTGGGCAGAAAGCAGTCACGACTAACCCTATCAATGGAAAGTCAACTCTAAAACCTGAACCGGCTCCATCTCGAGCTGTGGCCCCCAAAAAAATGAGCCCTGGCACTGAACTGGTACTCGGCATCAGTAAAAAGATCCCTCAGTGCAAGGGCAAAAATGAAGACCCTTATTTTGAAATGAACACTAAGAAGAGGCAGAAGACTTAAGGGGTCGATCTCTGAAGACTGTTGTCACTAACCCTAAAAAAACAACCTTATTTAAGCATTTGTCTGGAAACTTGTTTTTATGTTAAATTTTTTTTTTTTATTCAAAAGGGTCAAAGATATGCTTTTTATTTCATCTGTGATTAATTAATGGTCTCTTATTTGAGAGTTCTGCTCCATATACCTTGATTAACACTAAAACTTGCACAATGTTTAGTTTCACTTTCTTTACATGCACAGCCATTACTAATTGTCTGAACTGGTTTTTAAAGAATGAAGGATAGACTTTCATAGAAAAATTGTGTTCAAACATTGACCTTCAAAGCTTTTTAGCTCAGCAAAAGGTCACAGGAATGCAGCCATGATTTAGGAAAATGCACTTAGGTGAACATTTGCAGGAGAAAGATCTTTTTCTTCAAGGCAAGGCAGCTTCTGTGTCCAGTTTTATTCAGCATGTTGCCAAAGCTTTTTGGAACCTCAGTAATACAACTGGAACATGACTCATGGGTTCTGATGAACTGTTTCTCCAGTGAGAACACTTTTTCCACTGGTGGATGACCAGGCACAACACTTGTCTGATTAATTTCATATAAACTGTATATGGGGTTCATCTTGATGAATAGTCCTTCCTATTGTGTGCCTTCATCAGAAATCTCTCATCTATAGAGGTATTAAAATGTAGGCATGATGGGTTGGTGGTGATGAGGAATGGGGGGGTCGGGGGGCATGGTTTTTACTGATTTAAAATTGCACAAACGTGTACAAGCACTCATGATTTAGGTTTCTCAGAAAAGCCTGAGTCTCAGATGAACTACTGATCAAATGCCTCTGCTTTTTAGCTGAAAACATAGCAGCCAGAGTCCTTTTAGAGGAGAATCTACTTGGTATTAGCTATTTTTTATATGGATTCAAGTTTTTGTATATAAAAAGAATCCAGTTTTCTGTGTGTGTGTATAAAGAACATGCATTATCAGCGAGGCTTCTTTTTCTTGGTTGGCACTTTACAGAAATCCATGTTTGTTACAATTTTGAATGTTGATTCTGTCAGTTGTCTCTTGTTCCAGCAGTCTTCTGCCATTTTAATTAATAAATGAACATGTGTTTCAAAGACATTGCTATGTTGCATGTGTATTTTTTTTTAAGAGGTTTTGCTGTTGTAACTGTAGGTGAAACACATTGGTGTACCTGCTATTGAACTGACTGGTTGCAGCAGGAGAATAAAACAGTGGATGAAATTAATTATTGAAAGCTAAACCAACCAACATATCTTTACGGTAGTGGAAGTAACTAAATACATTTACGCAAGTGTGGTTGTGAGGTATATATACTTGAGGCTTCTTATTTTCTATACTTCATACTAATTTATACATTTCAGAAGCAAACATTGTACTCTTTACCACTAAATTTGCAATATTTTACAACAAAATACAGTATAATCACAATTTTGATCATTGATAGGAAATTCACAAGCTAACAAGCAGTATGTAGAGTACTCCACACCAATCAGGCATAACATTATGACCACTGGCAGGTGAAGTGAATAACACAGACTGTCTGTTACAGTGGCACCTGTCAGTGTATTAGGCAGCAAGTGAACATTCAGTCCTCAAAGTTGATGTGATGGAAGCAGGAAAAATGGGCAAGTGTAAGGATCTGAGTGACTTTGACAAGGGCCAAACTGTGATGGTGAGATGACTGGGTCAGAGCATCTCCCACACTGCAGGTCTTGGTGGGTGTTCTTGGTCTGTAGTGGTCAGTACCTACCAACAGTGTCTAAGGAAGGACAAATGGTGAACTGGCGACAGGGTCATGCACGTCCACAGCTCACTGATGATGAGGCTGCCCTACTGTAGATTAAACCTTTAACTTCTATTTGTACTTTTCAAAAGATTAAAATTTATTTGAATCTTTGTTAAAATGGTTGAAAATGAGAAATACTGTCCATTGGTCTCTATGAAGAGAAAGAGTCAGGGGCTGTAGTGGTGATATCACACCTAGAGCGGTGAGGCTGTTGGATTTGTCTAAACAATTCTCT